AAAAAAAAAAAAAAAAAAAAAAAAAAAAAAAAAAAAAAAAAGAGAAACAGGTTATATATAAAATTTCGAAAAAGCACAGGAAATTTGATCGAGTTTACTTCACCTATTTAAAGCGGTCCAGTAGAACACGCAAAGCTAAGTGAAAAGCTCGGTTCCCCAGGAATTACGAGACAGATTGAAATCGGTGAGAGAATATAAAAATGAGTTCAGTTATGAAGCAGCCAAGTAATTTGTCTGACAAGTGAATTTTATCTAGCAAAGGAATTTCGTTATTATGAAACGGAAATCTGATTATCGTTAGAAAAAGGTTTAACGGTATTTCATGGAGCACAGGAGGGATAAATTTTATAACATTTTCTAATTCGTAAACCAGCTGGATTTAACAAAATTATTTGAAATTTGAAGACATTAAATAACTTTATGTAGTATCATAGATTTAAAGACCTAGGTGGAAAAGGGTTGTAAAAGAATGAATCAATCTAGAGAAACGTTCGTCGACGACCAGTCCACCGAAGGGTCTGTAATATTTTCGGTAATCGAATGGGTAAGGGGAATTTGAAGGAAAAATTTCGAGAAAACGAGGGACGATCCTTTCGAAGAGGCAAAGTCGTATCGAGTTTGGTAGCGAGAGACCGAAACAAGTCGCGCAGAGTTATTAATTTTGTTTTATGTTGTTTCTATTTTTATTCACTGTTCAACCAACCTCTTTATTTGCACAATTTTATTTTAATAACATTTATTTTCAACTTGTGGTTTTGCGAAAAGGAATAAATTTGATTTTTCTAGGCCGTTTTACGGGTTTCTTTAACTTGGAAAATGTTTACTATGTAACCTTAAATTGTAAAGGTAGTCGAATATAATTGAAATTTCAATTTTTGATAATACCTTTGAATTTGCTTTTTTTCGTTTGTGCTGTGTATTAGTTCTTTTTACATTCAGAAAATTATCGAAATTGGTAATTTTTTGTGTAACCTATCTACCAGATATAATTTGTGGGGTATATGATCGGTTCGAAATATAAATATTAAATATCGCGTAGACTTTATTGAAGACTTTATTCAAGAGAAGATTATTAAATGTAGTTATATTTGGAGATAAACAGAAGGTGTACAATTAAGGAATTTGATTGTTATATGTAGAAAAAGTGGAAAAAGAGAAACTTTTCGTGTTAATATTAAGTAATTATCATTATGAGGGAACAACTATTATTTCAGATTATATATGTATACCCGGATTGGTGGTTAAGGAACTTAAAGGGCTCGATAAATAAACTAAAATCGGGAAAATTTTATACGATAATACGCAGTTGTGTAACTAATACGAGTTGGCGCTATTAGAAAACATGATAGGTTCAGTTATTTTAGAGTAAATCAGTATTGAAATCGTATATAAATTATTTGGAACTGTTAATGATTGTATTAGCAATTGATGAACTGGCATGCAATCGCAAAAACTGCCAAATTTGATTAGAGGTTGATAACGCGACAGTTTTTTATATTAATAACATTGGAGGTATTAAGTTTATGATTCCACGACATACAATGCTTTGTTTGCTATTAGACAAAATGAAAACTATATTGTAAGAAAACCGCCAACGGCCGAACCCCGGCGGTCGGAGTCTTTGATGGCGGTGATCGTTCCATGACGATCGAGAGCGAGCATCGAGGAAAGACCCCCGCATGCGTGTCTCGTGGAAGTTCGTTGAGGACTCTCGACCGAGTAAGAGATTGACGGGTGACGAATAAACTTTTTCAGACAAAAGACCTTTTATTAATTCTAACCCGAATCCCTTCGGTTTCCCGAACCACACCTCCTACGTGACATGCTTCTTTTCGTGATTCCCAGAGAAAAGAATAGAAAAACTAGATTCCATGCTATAAAGGTTAATTTTGGATAAGTAAAATTTTATTTTTACGTTTATAAATTGGATAAAATTTGAAAATTCTACGTCAAAGGCGTAATTTAAAGCAATGCAGTTCGTGGTAAGTACAGACCAGTTAGTTGAACAGCTCCTTTTTATTCAGACGGCTAATTCGCTACAGAAGCAGGTTGAATCTGGAAAATTTGATCCCATTATTTTGCTATTATTTTGCTATTGCCGATATAAATATAAATAATCGTTATTCGATAAGTAGCTTTCAAGTATCGCGTTAGGATTATCGGAATTTTTTCGCAAGACGCCAATTTCGGTATTCATCAAAATTGAGGTAGTCGTAGTACGGATTGTAATCATGACAACTGCTATATCGGTACTCACTGCATGTATATTTTGTTATCCCTGAAGTAAATGTATTATTAACGTCTAATTATGTAATAAGCATTTTCATATCTTTTGCCCTTTTTTTGTTTTCTCGGTAAAATTGGTTTATCGTTTTATTTGTTCGCGTGTTAGTATTCGAAATAACTGTAATCAAGAAGTTAGAGAAAAATCCAACGCGGCAGTAAATGGTAATTTTGTATTTTTTCCATCTCTTCTATTACTTTTTTTTGTCTTTAGGTAATAGTCGAAGCCATTTATAATCAATGCGGGAGCGTACTAGCCTTTGGTAAAATATTACGAAGGTTTTACGGTTTGAACCACAGAAAATTCCATATAGGAATTTAGCAACATTGAGAGATTTCGTACGAAATTATTTTTGTCGTATAACTTAGGTAGAAGCCAAAAGAAATTTTATAATAAAATATTGTTAGAGTCAAGTTTGAAAAAGCCAAGTTGATCTGCGGAATTTAATAACGCGCTCGTCAGTTTTAATTTCGATTTATTCAGATTTTATGTTTTCCTTTTTATCGAAGAGGTGTAAATATGTTGGTGATTACGTTTTTGTAAACAAGTCGGGTTTGTTTATCCGTGATGCATGTATAGATTACTCTTTGGTAAATGAAAAATTTAACGAATCTGTGCGTAAGAGCGTTGAACATCCTATGAAAGCTAGTTTCTTTATCAGGATACTCTTATTTACGTCATTAAAAGCGCCCTGTATACTTGGAAAGGGCCAATGTACATTTTTTATTAATAAAACCATTTTCTATGCTTAGAGTATGATTAACAAGGTTATCGATACACTTGACTAATCGGGGGTAATTAATTATGCTTCAACCACCATTGTAATTTCTTTTTAATTAAAGTCTCTTTAAAGCAGAGTTTATAAAAGCGGAATGAAAGGGCAATCGGGCGAACGTTCTTTCCGCCTGCTTTCTCAATAAACTTTTTTCGTATAACTTCTTCTTCCGAAAAGTCTGCGGAATATGATACTGTGTAGCAAATTCGGGCTGGACAAAGAATTTTTTGTACAAATGTAGAAATAGCGAATAGAAAGTGCCCTCGGCGGTTTACTTTTAAATTTTGATGACAAATTACAATTATTTAAAAACGCAAATAATTATAATTATGGGGATTAAGAGACTCAATAAAACACTCACCTAACTTTCAAGATGGGAACGAACCTCCTAACGTTTTTAGTTTTCGTGTAATACCTCGTTTTATCCAAAAATCGTGTACTTTTGCAACAAACGCGCGTTTTTCGGAAGCTAAAGGTGATAGAGCAAATTCATTTACGAATTCATGTTCAGGAAGGCAAACTTCGTGTTGAAAATAAGATACGTCTTAACATTTTCTAATTATTTTTTAATTATTTTTATCAACGAGGGAAACGCTGGTTAGCGATAGCGTGAACATCAAGCATAGGTATAAAGTTTTATTCAAACTTTCATTAACTATATTTTTCATAATAAAGTATATATTACAGAAATAGGAAATTTTTATTACTGATTACGTTTGAAAGATAAGTCAACTTACTTGAGTAAATCTTTTAGAGGTATATTTAATCTTTTGCCTAAGAATATTCGGGTTTCCAAAATAGCTTCTATTGCACTGTAATTTGAATCTTGAAGCGGGCGGCAGATTAACATTTCGGTATGACTCGATAGCATCAAAGTCATGATAAAAACTGCCCATAATATAATTGAGATAAAACAAGCCATGAGTACTCCACTGAAATAAGAAGTACAATTAGCAGTTTGAATAATCTTTCGGTTTTATCGGTTTCGGTGTTATGACAGGAATATTAAGTATAATTGGTACGCACAGTTTTATATCGAGTACGACAAGAAACATCATAAAAATGAGAAACAAGCCATTTGTTTTGTAAAAATAAATAGAATGTTTTAGAAAATAATCATTTATGAGGTTTCACTTTTGATTTATATACCCGTGTATAAATTAATAGATTACATTATGTATTCACATTCAGATTAGTTGCTTTTTTTATGTTTTTGGCATAGACTTATCATCATTGCCACAGATGACAAATTTATTTTCATCCGTTAAAAAGTTATTTCAAGGCTTACTCCTTTGCAAAATGTAAGACGTTTTCTTCAAATTGAATACCTAATTATCTATTAGAATCGAAGGCAAGAAGAAACGACTAATAAAGGTTTTTTATATGGTTTTCATATTTATCCGTTGCGAAATGTAGACTTTTAGTTCGTTCAGTTTATGTTGCTCTATCCGTGCACATATTCAGGTGGTAGATATAGAAACAGATATGTTTTCATTTATATCGCATTTAGATTAAAATATATTGAAATGTATTATGATAGTGGAACACAGCAGGGCAGCAACTGTAAGCGTAATTTCTGAATGAGCAATAGATTCGTAACAACTAAGCGTGTCTATTGAGTATTGTCGCAAAATTAAGTTATCCATCAATATGCATAATGCTTCTCAAAGTATTCCCCATAAGTCGTAGGTATTCGTACTTTCGCATATAATATGGAGTATTTGTATTTTAACGCAATTAAATGAAGAAATGAAAGTTAATCGAATGTATAGAATATATCTGTAGATACCATAAAAGCGTAGGTCGGACTTTAGTTTCAGACGTACCACACCGACAACAAAGCGCTGCTATCAATAACAGCCAGATGAGTAAAATGCAAAGAACGGTACCTGTAAAGTGTAAGGAAAAATTATGCCTTGAAATGATTGTTATTCGATAAATAATTATTCTTTATTTTCAAAAATTTAGATTTATATTATTTAAACGATTAATTATGAAATTATATTACTAAATTTCCACAATATCGATAGAATTATGTATACGAGTGTCGTGTTAGTATGCTCTCTTGTTTGCTAAGTATAGTAAAATATCATAATTGTCGTCATTGTGTGTATTTAGACACAGCGCTAACTCGTGTGGTATATACTCGAGACATATCCGTTTTAAGCATTTACACAAGATTATTTGTATAAGTATCAGAAACGTAAAGAAGATGTTTCGGAGAAAAGTCGTAAGGTGTGATAATATGTTGAGAAAGACGATGATAATTGTTTGACTTCCAGGCGACTTTAGAGAGTCCTAACAACGTTATATTCAGATTTTGAAATTAGTTTGTGTTAGTTAGTGTCCAGACATTTTTGAAACGCTACCTACACGTGTATTTTCACAAAAGCCGTTACCGAGGTATTAACTTTCAAATTTTACGTGTCATTGGCATTTGAGCATTTGGCATTCTATCATAGCGATAATTTGAAATTTCAGAGTCCATCGTATAATATCGATGTATTGTTATACACAACTAGGACTATTGCGTTCGATTCACCGTGTTTTGAATATTTTTTTTTTATTTTTCATCTACTTTGTCTGCTAACGCCTGGAGACATCTTCAGTTTTCTGTGTCTTTAATATCTATTTGCAATGTTTGCAAAATATTAGGATCTATTTGAGCGATCTATCTGTTTACTATTCAGATATGTTTGTCTGAAATCTCTTATATGTATTTTAACGTAGCTTCCAATGTGTTACGATTGATTATTCAGGTTTGATGGATGTTCACTGAGAGTGAATCAGTGTAGTGTCTATTAATTGTGTTTTTTGTATTAAATGTGTTTATATATCGGAAAATTGCAATCCTAGAGAGTGGAAATATTGATAAGAAAAAGTTCTATCTAATATTAATAAAGGAATTTTTTCTGCTATTGAACCGTGTTTAAAGTTAACGTAATTATTTTCCCGGAATTGTGTCTTATGAGTATGTTAGGGCAATAAAAACGTAGTAATTACGTATAATAATTGGAATTCATCTTTTGGATGTAAAAGTGTATATGTAACGATGATAATGCGATAATTGTAGATACAACTAGTTATTTATCAAATAAAGTTACCGCCCAATAAAATTTCAAATACGCTATCGTACAAATAAATATTCTTATTTGAATTCGTATTTAACATTAAGTATATCGATAAAATTCATCGAATGAAATTTTTATTTATGAAAAATTTTTGAAAGATAATTTAGGAAAACGAGTTTAAAATATTACTTACCAATACCTATGAGCCACCTCACATGCTCGAAAACAATAATATATGGTGTCGCATTATCCACTAAACGCCTTGCAAATTCTAATTGTTTAACGAGCTCGGAATTGCTTGCTTCCATATTTCGTGTTTCATCGAAGATTCTGGCGCGCATTCTATTCACTTCACGTCGAATTTCTGTGGAAAACATTTTCTCCTATATCTTTTCATATATTTCTTTAGTTTGAGAACAAAGGATATAATATTATAAAATTGATAACGAATAAAATTCGTGTACCGGTTAACGTCGAATTAACCATAAAATTCATAAAAGTATGTCGATAAAATACTATTTTTCTCATATGAAGTTTTCATTTTGATAGATAGATTATTATTGAAAATTCAATATTCTGCTGCCATGAACGTGCAGTATATAATATAATTATGCAATTACATTGAGAAAAATTAAAAAATTATTGTACGGGTAGGTATATATTGTATATATTTATAATCTGACAAAGTAAATGTTAAATATATTTCAAGGGTAGTTATGTCCTGCAACGCTATTGGTTAAATTATTAACTTTTATTTGTATATTTGATTATTGACTATTCGTGATACTTATATTTAATTTGCGAAGACGCGATGATAGGGAAAATGCAAATTTGCGTGTAATGTTGCGATATAGTGATTGAAAATCGAAAATAGAATGTCCGAAGAATTGATTACAAGTACGAATATAAATTTATGTTTTATTCATTTATAATATTTTAATTCAATTGGAATTGAACGTTTACTTTTCTTTTTGAAAATATTCGTACATTACAACAGCATGAAAAATGAAATTTGATAAAAAATTGTCCCATAGAAAAATTTATTCTTTAATGAGAATCTGATGAGAATTTGTAAATAAGACTAACGGTTTCTACTTAAGAGGACAAAGTCGACCTTCGAATAACCTCGGAAACACTCGATGAATAAAATATAAGTAGGATAATTTTATTTCCTCTTCGAAACAGAGATACTTTTTTACTTCACATTTTTCGAGCTCGTTGTACTTTTGAGATACGTAAAATGTAAAGTTTTCAAACGAACAACGCACCTTGCATATACAAATAAATCACGAAGTAGATATACCATAACGAGAACATGGTGTTACGGCCCCAGGACCGAATGACCCTAGTTAAGTGGAGGACTGTTTATGTCCTTATTGCCAGCATCCCTTGATTTGTATACACTCGTCATCACCTAGTCACCACTTGAGTGAACTTTAGCAATGGTCAATATATCACCCTTTCGGTACTACTGCCCCCCAATGGCAGCGGCCATGAAACATTCTCTGGGTACTACCGTCGCCTATTGGCGGCATCCGCGAAACGTCACCGATCACAGTCACGGTCCGATTGAAAAGTTTAGTGTTAATCACGCTCAAGATTTCTATGAATACCTCAAACACGTTTTCGTGGCTTCCAGTGCCACCACTCTTGTGAAAAACTTCCTCGTACCACGAATATATAACCGCGACCAGCTCCTCCATACCGAAAGGGTTAAGACGACAGGCATAAGGACCCAAATTATTTAAATATCCATCGCCACGGAAAGACGTCGCAGCTATCACACACCCCTAATATTATTTACAACCAAAGAAAGACACACACCCACCACTTACAATTCACACCAACCAGTAGACAAAAACTTATAAAACCACCGAGACAGCAGTTACGACAGAGTTCTGCTAACAATTTCACGAAAACAGGACAAGCATCACGACCAGACCATCAATCAAGACCCACGACGATCAACTCAGCACGAGAGACAGTAAGACATCAGAACTCTTTAGTGCAACCCTAACCAGGTGTAGCTCTATTAATTCAGAATAGGCTGCGTACCAGCAGCATTGTCGCATCCGCGTAAACGGGCCTTACAACCTCGCAAAACTTTCAGCATGAAAAAAAATGGCAAGTTAGAGAATTAAATATTCTTAAATAATAAGAATATCTTGTCAAAAGGAGAGTTCTAACGTTTCGAATGAAAAATCCATATTGCTGATAGTACCTCAGACAATACCCATTGAGAAATAATTTATAATTATTCATATTTGCAGCGTAGTAGAATTTTGTCAATAGCGATTTATTAATATTTATATCGAGAGAAATAACAAAAAATTAACATGCTGGCATGAATGGAATTAGATTTTCGAACTGGATAAAAAAACAAATAGTATTATCAGTCTTTTATAATACTGTTAACCCATTTGCATCCAAGCGCGGAATATTCCGTGAGCCACGACTGACATCTATCACCGAACGCGGAATAATCCGCGAGCTGACTCTTTTCTATTACCAGTTGCTGATTATTCTTCATTTGCCACAGATCATGTTTGATACCTTTTGTGAGCATCTCGCCTACATCACTTCATTATATTCTTACCAAGTTTTATTTTTGTTGTGAAAATCTTTTTAACTGCCCTTATGAGTAAGTGCTGATACGCGCGCGGTGATACTAGCCAGACGTCTGTTGAACGTCGCTGATGCCTGAACAACGGTACCTTAAGTAGAGTCATGATGCAAATGAATTAATATAATTTGTTATCGTGAAAATAAAATAAAAACAGGAAGATACGAACATGTTTATACGTCAGTCGCGTGCGAGCTGTTGAAGAGTACAGTCGTATAAATATTGCGATCCTTGAATGTAAATATACACAAGCGAACGATTAGGGAAGTAAAAAATCGAAACTCGAAAGTGTGCATTTACGATCTAGTTTATATCAATAACTCTTGTTAATTGGAAAATGCAGTAAGGAAGTGGGGGGACATATCCCTCGCCGATATTCACTTCCACGAGTGATACAGTGACTACAAACTCGTATTCTACATATCGATATTATGGGCAATCTATATTTGGCAGAACACCTATTATGACTACTGAAACCACTACAAACCAGTATTCCCACACATACACAATTATCGCCGGCAGCTTAAAGCAACGCACATACAGAAATGCCGAATAATATGTGTATACTCCACCATTCATGTAGGGATATACTTTTGATTGGCGAATACAAGGAACAAGAAATGTTGTTTAATTCCAATATATTTTTATTAAGAGATTTTGGAGTAAAGTACAAACTAAAAGAAGACAGCTAGGGATGCGTTTTTGACGCATTCGTCACCAGCATACAGAGAAAATAAAACAGTTACCTAGCAACAAAACGACTGTTTATTAAAATCTCCTACACTATGTTCACGCAACTAAGACTCGCACAGCGATTCTTCTTCAAACTCCGTAAAGGACTCTCTCCAAACGACTCTCAACGACTGTCTTTCAAACTCCGTATAGAACTGGACTCTAACCGACTTCCCTAGGATAGTCCTTACACTCTGTCTTCTTTCATACTCATGCTCCCTTTCTCGATTACGTGTGATTGAAAAATTAAATTTTTTGAAAAATACATCTAATAGTTACGGTAATCTAGTTCGCAAAAAATTTAAATAAATATTTGAATACAGTTTATTACAACTTCGTTCTTCGTTCTGTTTTATACTATAAATCACAATTTTTCCATCATTACGTTTGAAGAATGAAAAGAAGATTCTTTGATAAATTCTAAACCACTAAACGTTTTTCATCAATTTTCCTTCAAAAGTTTATACAATTTTTAACCGAGACCATACCTTTTACAACCGAGATGAAAAAAACTCCGATACAACAATTTAGTATAAACAATTATATCTTTCAAAAATATCTTGATTATAGGTAGACGTAGTTTCTTTTGTTATTGTAAATATATTAGAATAAAAATATGAAAACACGGAAAGTTTCATTTTACTCTTTTTTCACGAATATTCATACCTTTTTATTATTTAATTTGTTCTACGATTAATGTTATATCGATAATGAGCGCTAATTATCTGCAATGAGAATGAAAATTAACGGTAGTCAAAAGTAACGAGGAAAAGTTTCTTCAGAATATTGGTTACCGATAATGAAAATATTTAAAATTCTCGCAACAATAATAATTATTCGTAACTAAAAACAATTTTCGTCATCAACATCTATATCTACATCTAGAATAACCAAACCAAAGGAACCAAAAAGTATTTTAGTCGTTTATAATGGCTATTTGTAACCGAAACGAGTAAAAAATTTTATCAATATTTTGAACAATTAATCTTTTCCATCAAATATTTAAAGTAACTGGAATTCTACATTATCTATATACTAGAACAAGCAATAATAAAATATCTTCCGCGAAATGTAATTATGTGTTCTGAATCCTTATAGCGATATATCTAGTAAAAGCGCAACGTGTTCTCATATATTATTTGCAAAGCATGTACTATTAACATTTGGTTGCACAGAAAGATCTGTTGCACTTTTGTATTTCGAAGATCTCTAGTACATCCTGTAATGTTTGGTTTTCTATGTTATTATCTATTTGCAGTTAACGTCCATCGTGTGAACAAATTCAAAACAACCGTGTTACGAGATTTTGTTTTGTTTTCGAAAATACTCGTGTATTGGAATGTCGTTGGAATTTGTTGGTCTCTGAAGCAACTAGTTTTGCCAGATGCGTTTCATTTGTTTCTAACGTACGAATTATATCTCGATTTCTGTTTCTGTATCGAAAAAGGCAAAGTATATAAAACGTTTGATGCAAAGTGATTCGTGATATTGCAACTATTATTAAGAAACCGAAACTTCGGTTAAGATAATAGTTCATATTTTCTTGTTCATATACATTTTTTGTTCGGAATGACCTCGCAAGCACGTTAACAAAGTCTGTCTGTTTAAATTTCGAATGCTCTCTATGAAGATTCTAATTAACTCTTTCGTTGCGAAATTTCCATAATTAAAAGTACATTTTCGATATACGGATAAAAAAGTATATTCTACGAAGAAAAATATGGGTAAGAATGAAATATTTCACATGATTAATTAAGGCATAATGAATATATGTGGAAATAAAGATAATTTTGCATAAAAAAAGGACTATGTACACTTTTGACATTCGAGGACGTACATATAGATCTTTCGTAATAAAAAGGTTAAGAGTATAAAATATTTTTACTTACGATTCCGGACTTCTAAACTATTCCTTGCTATATGTTGGGGGATGTACAAATATTCTCCTCTAGCTTGACGAATTGTTTCTGTTAAATTACTTCGTTTAGAATCGCGCAACAGTATTAAACGGCTATCCCTTAAGAACTGTAAAGATACAAATACAAAAATTACATATTTTTCGTTCGATATATGGTTTTGTTTCATCATGGTATATGATTATATTTTTCGAAAACCGTACCTTGCAATTGAAATGAATTTATTTAATCGATGTTAGAAAAGTATCGTTTTACGAAAGTACAATATAATATCGGGTTGGCATTTAAGTGATTGCGGATTTTGTCAATAGTGTTAAAGTGGTAATCGTGCTTCGGTACCTAGTGACATCGGTACGGTGTTGGTATGCGTGTGGTGAGAGAGAAAACAGTTGAATGTATGAGATTGAAGAAGCCACGTGCTCGGGTGTATGGCGCGAGTAGTGAGTGAGTGATATAGAAGAAAGAACCAAAGAATTGTTTGTTTATGTTCCTTATATTTTATTAAAGTTATTAATAGTTTCCTTTTCTTTTTTTCCTTTGTTCTAATAAATGTTTTTTTACTGAATAAGTTCAAGTATACCGAGTTACTCAAAACCTAACCTCAAACAAATAGATGGCTTTTGCACATTCTTTTGTTTTGTCAACGTGTTCAAGGCTCCTAACTTATATATTGTTCTCTTGTTATTTGGACTTCCGCCTTTAATTTAGTTGAAAAATTGTATCGATTAGTTATTTAGTTTCGTTTTTATCTCAATTTACAAATGGAAAAACAAGACGCGCATTTCGGACATATTTTATTGTTTTATTTCCGAAAAGGCAAGAACGCATCACAAGCATACAAGAAGTTATGTGCTGTAAATGGGAATGAAGCCTTGGAAGAAAGACAGTGTCAAAATTGGTTTGCCAAATTTCATTCTGGTGATTTTTCACTGAAAAATACGCAACAATCTGGCCGTCCAGTTGAAGTTGATGAGACCCCTATCAAGGCCATTATCGATTCAGATCGTCATAGCACAACACGTGAAATTGTAGAGAAGCTCAATGTATCGCATACATGCATTAAAAAAAAATTAAAACGGCTTGGCTATGTGAAGAAACTGGATCAGCTTAAGGAAATTCATTTGACGCAACGCATTAGCATCTGCGATTCTCTTCTGAAACGCAACGAAATTGATCGATTTCTAAAACGACTGATAACTGGCAACGAAAAGTGGATAGTTTATAACGTCAATCGGAAAAAATCGTGGGTGATACAAGATGAACAAGCCCAGACGACACCAAAATCTGAGATTCGCTAAAAAATTTGCTATTTTCCTTCTTATTTAAAATCCGCAATCACTTAGATGCCAATCTAATACAATTTTCAAATGATAAAAAATGACTAATCGAAGGATTAAATTACATCGGTTTCCATTATTTTATTCCATTCGTAACATCACCAATGTTACAATTTCAATGTTCGAATCGATGTAAACGAACATCAGTTCGTGCATCTCGTGTCACGTAAATTTGATCGTTTAACCGTGTTATTTGTTATCGAATGACTTTGAACTATAGGTCATTGGAATAGTCTAAACGAATGCCGCTTTATTATGAATAGAAAAGTATAGCATGTCATTCAAAAGAATGAAGATGACATGAAAATCTTCAAAATCCCTTTATCTGTAAAAATTTATACAAAAATTCTTTTGTATTTGAAAAATAACAGAGATATTGACGATGATCAAAACTATTGTTCCATTCTGTATATTAGGATATCGAAAATATAACTTAATTTAAAAATTCGCCATGTTACGAATTACAAGTATTATTTTTTTTGGCATACGGTAAATATGGAATAGTTGGTGATTAGAAAAATTCAAAGTTGACTTAATAGCTCGAAATAAGGCGAAAAGTAAGTACCAGAGATTTAACAAGGTGGTTAAGATATCCTTGATAGAAATTGATATAGATCACGTGATTATTATGAAACGAATTATCAACTTATTCTACAGAAAACGTAAAAAAAAATCTTTACATTCGGTGTTTATTGAATACTAGCAAATGACGTATCTTAATATAAAATGTATCCATTGTTATTAACAACACATTCCTCTCATTTATTTGAAACTTGATAAATATCTTTGACATCAAATTTTTTTAATATAGAAAATGCTTTTTCGTCAGGATTTATCGCACGTCCAAATTTATTAATTTGAATTTCAAGCTTACTAGATTAATTCGTTTTCAAAATTCTGCCGCAATAATTATGTTTAAAGTCACGATGGGAAATCCATAGTACTGCTTTATGTTGTTTATTTTCTTTATAACAAACTTCATATTTAATTCACGTATTCTTCTTAATACATGAAAGTGGCGCATAACGATATATCGAGATTTCGTAGCGACTCTTTCGGTATTTTCGTAATAAATTTTGATTCACTGATTTATTTCAAAAAAATTTATCCTAGCTTTCTGGTTAATTGGTTTAGAATTAATTTTTCGATAACTAATTTTTATTAACATCTGTATAAATTTACTATTGTTTACACGATATGATACAAGGTCATCAGATTAATTACAAGTATTTGAAAAACTAGATAATAAAATTCTGAAATCTATTAAGATGAAATTAAAAATGAAATTGATCGATAAAAACTTTTATAAATAAGGAATTAACGTCTCAGTGACTCGTGGTTTTAAGCTAATTACTTTATATCCTTGTTATCGCGAATGGAGGAACATAATATATAATATATAATAGTACTATAGAATTTATATGTAAATAAAATATGTATTAGACTAAAAATCACATTATTGGAAGAATTTTACAATGTAAGCGTATCGAATATAAAATGTAAAGGGAATGAATACAAAAGCTCGTATAAGGTACGATCGAAACCAGGTAACTTGAGTTTCAAAGAGAGATAAAATCTATTTCTGTAAAAAGAGTTGCAAGGGTATCGATTTATCGATTTATCGATTCATCGAAGTAAAAAGGATTTAACGAAAGAAAATCTGACACAGAAATATAATAATTTTTCAGTTGTGACGGTTTAAAAAGAGAAATTCAATTATTTTTAATACGAATTATTTATTTTGTAAATATATAACTTTGAGTCTCAAATTGGTTAGCACTACTGTTTTAACTAGATTCACCATTTTAACAAGTATCGAAACTTTCAACGTGTCAAAACTCCTCTTCGAACTCATTTCATTCGATGTAAACGCGAATATCGAAGACGCTTATTATGTCGAGAAATAATGGTAATTGAGCGATCATTTTCTAACCAAAAATTTGACACTTTTATGACTTAAATCGATTCTGATAGTTGAAACATGGTGATATTATCGAATAATTAGTTTATAAGATTTTCTAACATGGCAATAAACTTCGAGTTATATATATATATTTGGCTATTCTAAATTTGAGATACAGGGGTAAGGTATCGCAGTTAAATATGTAGCAATTAATTCGAGTTAAAGTATGTTTTATTTTAACTTGCTAGAATTTTCGCAGTGGAGCTGAAGAGAACGAATGAAATTTCTAATCTCGTTGAGGTTTCCGTGTTGTAGAAATTCAGGTTATCGAGATTTTACCATATTTTTAAAGACCGTTATTCAATATTATCGATGTTTGGGTTGTTAATGTAAATATTACAAGCAATTATTACGATTAATATGTCGGTCAATATAGGTCAATAATTAATAGATCGGTCAATATAAGTGATATAAAAACATTTGAGCATTGGAAATGTATAAAATAAAGGAACAAATATGCCAGTATAAGAATTTCAGTTCCTTTCGAAAAAACACTTAATCGCAGTGACGATATCTCGTATTTTTATACATCCAAATATATATAACATTATTTTAATATGAATTTTATAAACTGAGAAAGATCCGTTAATAAGAAAGCGTTACACTTGGCAACTTCTTTCAATTATGTCATGGAATGTGAAATAATATCTATTTTTAATAAATACCGTGTTTACGTAGATTCACGTACATTACGTACATAAATTAGGCAGTGAAATTTTCAGTGAAATTTGAAAAGGTAAAATCATTATTACTTTGTAAGTAAGAAAAAGTTCAGGAACTTGCCAAATTAGTTGCTGTACGCATAACACGCATACGTTGAAGTACGTATATAGGGTGTTCCCGTGAATACTAGCAAGTATTTCTTTCACAAGTAGTAGGTGTATTGAAAGAATAAAGGAGAGAAATATAGTGTCTATCAATTTTTTATATTTACAATAATTTTCAAGAAACAAAGGTGACCTTCAGTTTTTTAAATTTGTGGCGGCTAAGATTCCGCCACTACGCCCATGCAAAAGGAGCAGGGACATTAGGGTCGAGTGTGCACCGGGTACGTCCCCGCAACGTACCAGGAGTCGCTGCAGGTCAGCAGGCATTGTCCTCCGGATGGCATTGGCTATCGTCAATATCATGCCGGGGATTAGCTTGGGACCGGGCAGCGATGTTGCAGACCAACGGTCGTCTTAATTTACGACCTCCCTGGGCGGTCATCATGACCTTCCCGCGCGAGGGCGGTCCCCGCGTAAACTCTTCCCGCGAAAACTTAGTTTTTCCCGCGCGCGGGTTGGCGATTTTTTCTACCCCTTCCGTGAACACTCGACCGCTTTAAAAGCTCCTAAGTCAAAGGACCACAGGACAGTTCGGATCCTCCTACGACGCCGTGATTATTGTCCCGGCCGCCGCGACGATCGCCGGCATACGTATTGCCAACCACTTCAAATTGAATACTACATATTTTTTTATATTATATGAAAATGTATCAAGAAGAGTTTAACCGTGTAATATATATGAAACATTTTTCGATTGCTGTTTGTATCGCTATTGTAGGATAGTTTTAGGAAATAGACAAAGTACAGAAAGACCCGTTACGGTCTTTCAATAGCCAAATCTTAAATGCCGAGCAATACGTGCTTCGGTGTTTATTTGTTTACTGCACATTCTGGTCGAATTTCTATGTTGCCTCGGGTCACCGGACACGAGGCATCGTTCAAAAGCCTAATTTAGGCTATTAGGCTTCGGCACTTACGATCTGGCTGTCAGGTGGGTCGTAGCAGGTTGGGGCCAGGCCACGCGAGGTGGCCTCGCGCAACC